GGGATACTTCCTATGATCCCTTATCCTTACTAGTGTTGGTTTGTTACATCATTCAAAACGGTGGAGAAAAAGGTGCTTGAAACAACAATTGGTGGAAACCCTACAGTTTCAACTGAAAAGCGGGAATTGATAACCCTATAGCCCCCCGACCCACTCTGCCACAATAATTGTGTTTTTATGCGCACTTCAAGGAAAAGGGGTCATAAGCGAAATTTAAATTTTCTGGGAAAATGAACAAGAAAAAGAATAGAATTTCTATCAGAATATTGGCCCCGTCTGGTTTTAAAGACCCCTCCAAAAACTGAAAAGGAATAATCCCTTTGATCAGTCTTTTATGTTGGTTTGTTTTGGTGTTTGCAAAGAAATAAATACTTAAAAACGGCCTCTCAAACAAAGTACGACTCGATCTACCCCTAAAGTCCTAATCTAAGATCGGTAAACTATAGCACGATGCGCCACTTAAAATGCTTTTAATAACTGACTTTGGTGATTTTTTTTTTAAATTTTTTATTTCAAAACCGTACTGCCTTCGAGTATTTGTCTTATTAAGTAATTAAGTGTTCCATTTATTGTCTAAGTATTAATTATTAATTGTCTAAAATAAAGTATAAAAACATAATTGCGTCTAAGTACTCTCAGTCCTTTGATGAATTTCTTAGTGGCTGCTTTTATTGGCTGCTAGCTTCAGTCTAGTATTTTGACTGCATATGCATCCGACTTTATAGAACAAAGTAAAGCTTCCGTACTACATAATATAAAAAGTGGACTAAATGATATAAAGGGAAGACTACATATTATATAAAGTGGACTTAATGACATAAAGAATAGACTACATATTATATAAAGTGGACTTAATGATATAAAGAATACACTACATATTATATAAAGTGGACCTAATGATATAAAGAATACACTACATATCATAAAGTAGATTTAATGTTATAAAGAATAGACTACATATTATATATAGTGGACTTAATAATATAAAGGATAGACTTCATTTTATATAAAGTGAATTTAATGATATAAAGAATAGGCTACATATTATATATAGTGGACTTAATAATATAAAGGATATATTGAATATTAGTAAAATTGACAATATGATGCATATTTTTTACCCTTATGACAGCATATTGTGTTCCATAGACATAATATAGAAAGTGGTCTTAATTATACACGGGATAGATTATATAATATATAAGGTGGACTTAATGATATAAAAGATAGACTTAATGTTATAGGCATCCGACTTTGTAGTATTTGAATTTGACAGCATATCAAAGCTTTTGTACTACATAATACATAAAGTGGACTTAATGATATAAAGAATAGACTTCATGTTATGTACAATTGACACTATGATGCATATTTTGTACCCTTAAGACAGCTGTGGCTTTCTATACTATATATTTAATGCAGACTTATATGTTAGTAAAACAAAGATTCCTTGAGCTGAATAACCATACTATGCTTTCTAATATTTGTAACAATGCCCGAAGCCCGCTATACCAACATTTGGTTGATAATTTTGGTGTACAATATTACTTGCGTAAACTTATTAATTATATGTACAAAAAAAAAATTGCTAGAATTAGACTATCTGCCCATAATCTTAATGTTGAAACTGGTAGATATGTGAATGAAATTAGAAAAAAAAAAAAAAAACAGATTATGTAAAATGTGCTCTTTGAATGCTATCGAAGACGAATTTCATTTTATTTTACAATGTCCTTTTTTATCATGACCTTAGATCGAAGTATTTGAAAAAGTATTATTATAAGAAATCCAGTGTTTGGAAATTAATTCAACTTCTAAGTGTACAGTATATAAAGGAACTTTGTAACCTTGGAAAATATTTATATCAAGCTTCCATTAGAAGAATGAAACATTTGTAAATTTTTAGTGTTTTATAATTACAGTTGCCTGTTAGAAAACACGTCCTGCATAGTTTACTTGCTATTTAATGATTATGCTCACTCTCATATTGTTATATTTTATAATATTGTATATATGTTTAGTTATTACTGTATGTAATCTGATGTGTCGTATGACGCAAAGAACTTGATCAAAGAATAAATTCGAATGATGTATTGAAATTTTTAAGATTATCTTGATAAATCTTTCAAACTTATTCAGAAATTAAAACTGCGAAAAATGGGACAGCGGAGCAGGTATAGCCTTAGTATTGTACAAACAATACAGTAAATAACGTCTGTAGTCATGTCTCTGTTAAAGCACACACACACACAAAATCTTAGACATGCCGAGTAAATATATCCCAAAGTGTGACAATATTTTGCATCGTTGCCCCCCCCCCCCCCCAAAAAAAAAGTTGTAGAACTTCACAGAGCATAAACTATAAATATACAATTTTGTATTGTACTCGGGAACTCGGGAGGAAAATCCTTCAGGAAGCAGGAAATATGTCAAAACCGGGTCGTACATTTGTGTGTAAATGGCAGAGGTTGTACTGAATGTGAGGAAACGGATTATCTGCAAAACAGATGTCACATGATATAGAAACAGTTTTAATGAGTGAAATGTAGAAATGTATATAGGGAGAGTATGGTTTTTTGAGAAACTCATGACGCTTTTTTATTTTTGACGATACAATGTTGTTAAGTGTGCTCCGTGGTTACAAAACTGATGTTGATTTTAAAATTAAGTAACTTGATTTCCATTAAATCACATGAAATAAAACTTCATGTACATCAACCAAATAAATGCTTTTACATATATGATAATTTGCTCGTTTTAAATTTCTTAAAAATAGTATAACGAAGGTTGACATGGCTCGCGTACTTTTCGAACAGCCCTCGTACTGCTTTTCCGGAAGAAACATTGACGTTCGTATTCGATCGTGTCTTGTTCCATTTAGTTAGATTGTGTTCCATGCTTTTGGGTACCAAGTTGTTCTATGAATCTGAATCATCACTTGGAATACATCCTATAATTATCCAACTCTATATATTTTACATTTAGTGCAACATTCAACCCCCTATAACACACACGAAACTCTGTCACTTCACGGTAGAATACGTAATAGGAACTATACATTTGTATAGGCCTTCAAAACACTAGGAACACCAAAGTGTATATTGTTTTGGTTCCATTGAATTAAAAACAATTACCCCATTAAATTGATGTAAAAATGTAACAATCGCTTATTAAAAATTACTTTATTTTTACCTCGCAATATTCATTTGCAAAACTTTCCATATGAAAACGGCTCTCACGTCTATTAAACACACCAGTTCTAAATGGCGCTAAATTTGTAATGAATGAAATTAACATTTATGAAGAATTTTTATGAAGAATAAGAATTCTTAGTTTTGGATATCGTCGGTCATATCACAGCACCTGTCTGTGCGGACATATTATTATAGCGCCAACGCGCGATATTCAATTTGTTGGCACGGCCAGGTGCTGTTATACAACAGACGACATCCAAAAATACGAAAGAATTTAAGAACTCAATGCTTAAAATAACATTTTTAGAAGTGTATAAATATTTCCGGTTTCCGGAACAAAATTCATAACTATTATGCAAACATTTGTAACATAATATATTGTATGATTAGGCCAAATAAAAAAAATATGTGTGGTTCCGGTTACCCGACAGTCCCTATTTTATACCCCCGACCCTAACTTTTTTTTGGCAATATTCATATTTTTCCGGAATTTTCCCAGATTTCTATCAATGGCTCCGGTTTAAGATTTAGTTTCAGCAATGACAGCCTCCTTGCAAAAGACAGTGTAAGTGTTTAATAGTATTAAATCCAAAGCAAGCTAGCATGTAGGTGTCCCCTACCAATATTGACTAGTATATTATCATACCACATCTAAATGCCACTTGCAAAGGAGTGATAGGTATTATTTAGAAAAATTAAGAAAATCATTTTGTTAAAAAAAACAAAAACAAAAAAAACTACCTACCTACCCTAATTTTTTGGAGGTGTAACCGGAACCACACATATTTTTTGTTTGGCCTTAGCAGACGACATTACTTTCCATGCTATAAATTATGCTGCTGTGTATGTATAATTGTCCGTCGTCTGCCTGTCTGTTTTCGTTAAAACTCCTCCAGAACTTCAGATAAAATCCTGGGGTGATGGAAATTGAAATTAAATGCCAAGTCCCTATCAAAATGGTGATAGTCAACGATTATGAAGTTAGGGTAGGCATGTTTAAAATAGCATGAAATGGCTCGGAAAAGACAAAACTAAATATACAGTGTGTTTTTCTGATCTGTTCAAACCTTGTGTAGGGCCACGATGGGGATCAAACTTCAATATATATATGTAGGACTATAACGGACAAGTTTTAACCCCCCCCCCTCTCTCTCTCTACAAGAATAAAGCTGGCTGTAATAATTAGTCAAATCATTATGTAAGTATTCTCATGCAGTGTATACTTAGGTAAAGATCGACCTAGAAAGTGGACACTGAGCTACATGTAGGGGTTAAAATTTTACAAAGTAATGTATAGTATATAAAGATTTCTTTAAAACCTATCATCTAAATAACAGCAAGGTTTTAATTATTCAAATTCAATATGTAAAACATCCTTATAGACTGAGTTAATTTTACCTGTAATTTGCAAGGCTGCGATTAAGTAAAATTAATGCAAAAACCCCATGTAGAAGACAATTTTTTGCTTGTTTTGGTCATGAAGCTACAGGTGGTGTTCAGTGTAATGTATTTTAATGCTTGGGTAATGAATGCTTATAATAAAAAGCTTCAACTAAATACTCGTACCAAAATTACTAATTTACTTGCTTCTTTTGTATATCGAAGACCGATTTCTCATTAGACTCATCGCGTCTAATGTCACGGGGTGGAAGGAGGGGAAAGGGGGTGAGGGTAGTAGTATATTGGATTTTTTGTCGGAGATTGAGTGATGTGCCCCTGTTTTTCTTTACTAGTTTAATAGAGTTGCTACATTTGATACTAGTACAATCTTATTAATTTAATATTAATTAATTCTTTTCTTTACAGGCATGGAACGAGTCAAGCGTCTTGAAAAGGATAGTTTCATCAATGAACTTCAATTCCGTTATGAATTTTTCTCAAAATTCTGTGCCAGGAAATGTAAAGTCGAGCGAGTATACATCAAATCTTACTGTTGTCACAGCGTATTGGAATCTTGGAACATTTCAAAAAGGTTCAACAGGCAAACTACATTTCTCGACGAACACCTACTTTTCTTGGGTCAACTCTTTTAAATATCTTGTTAATCCACTGGTGGTGTACACAGACTCCAAAGAATTCAAAGAGTTGATGTTAAAACTAAGAGCTGATTCTATAAATACTACAGTGATTTACTTGATAAATCGTACAGAGGTATGGCCTTTTCAGCTTTTAGACCAAATAAAAGCTATTTATAGCCAACCTGGTTATCCGAAGCACCACCCCAATACAGTAAATCCAGGATATACCGCAGCGCAACATGCCAAATATGCCGTTGTAGCCGAAACAGTGCGAAAACAGATATTCCGCGCTCCTTATTACGTTTGGTTAGATATAGGATATTTTAGAGATATTGTAAATAGAAAAGTGTTTTTTGAATTGAACATTCCACCGGGTTTTGACCCAGAGAGATTAGCTGTAAATCGAGTTAATGACATTTCAATGAGTATAGACCCTTTCAGTATATTTAGAAACAATATTGTTTGGGTTGGTGGCGGCATGTTTGTTGGAAGTGAAAAAATAATTCTTGAATTTGAAAAATTGTACCATAAAGCAGTGTTGTACTTTCTTGACCAAAAATTAATGAATTCCGACCAGCAAGTGTTGTATTCTTTGTATAGTAAAAAAGGCAGGGAGGCGCTGAAGCCCAATATAGAACTTCAGTTGTACATTCCAAAAGGTTCAGGAAATCCATGGTTTTATTTAGGATACCTATGTCTCAAAGATGTTGTAAGACAAAAATCATGAGAGAGAGAGAGAGAGAGAGGGATAGATTAGCAAAGTGCTGTGTGGACCAAAAATCTCTCAGTATTGTTATTTATTTATTGTTTAGAATTATATATTTTAATATTACTATGTAGAACCAAACAGAATACTCAATACAAGAACAAACTTACAAACAATTGCAAGTTACTTATGTTTCATGGGGTATCTATTGTTGCATGCAATTCTCTGTGTGACAAAAAAATGAAATGCAGAATTTGTGGAAAGGCTACTACATCATTGTCATTCATTCTTAAAAGGGTAAACAATTGATAATGGAATACATGTACATTGTACAAACTAAATGTTTCTATTGGTCATTAATATACATTTACATTCCTATGCGATTGATAGATTTTGGAGAAAATTCGTTGCCATCACTTTTAAAGTTAATGCTCCTTTAACATTCAGCACTGAATTATGATAATTTCATGCACAAGAACACGTGTGTTTATTTTTTCCCCCCTCTATGATAAAAATATATGGCGGAAATCTGAGAGTATTTATTTCTCAAGAATTACATGGCCGAAATAGTACAACTAGTCAACATACTTGTTGAATACAAGTTTTTCCACGTAGTTGTTGATGTCAAGTCCTTGGAACAAGGATGCAACTCAGATAGGGATAAAGTTTGCAAGGAAGTATTTGTATCATAGACAATGCTGTAACCAGTTAAAGTATCGTGCAAGAGCCTATCTAAAATATGTTAGAATTTGGAGACATTTACAAACTCCCCAGAATATGGTCATTGTCAAAAATCTAAGGTATGTTAGAATTTGGAGATATTTACAAACTCCACAGAATATGGTCATTGTCAAAAAAAAAGATAAAAAAAAAAGCCTGAAGTTTTATCAAGGAATGTGCACAAACCTGAGATATCTCGTAGCTTTCTCTAAAATAACAGCTCTTTAGCGCAATAAGAAAAACTTTCACAGGCCTCGAGTATTTATAAAGTCAGCGCGCCATCATAGTAGTTACAACTTTGATTTCTCTCAAAAGTTCTGTACTTTAAGTACTGTAAGACAACTTTAATAGTGATTATAAACTAGTATGTACAGTATATTTATGTCGTCAGAGTTAGACTCAATTTAGACTCTACCTGGATGAAAAAGACTATAAATTAGGGAGAGGGTATGTTCTATTTTACAAATTATCTATATAAGACAAGAAATCGTCTTATCTCTCAGGCCCCTTTGTGTGGATGATCTTTAAACCTCAAGAACGTAAAGTAGAAATACAAATTACAGAGTGTAGTCAAAAAGGGGTGACTAAAGTTGCATTGTTGATACAGATCTTGTGTATCTTGATTTGATAAACCTTGTGATTTAAATTCAAAATTTTTTAATTCATATTCGAAAACTTGTTATAATCAAAAACTTTTATATGCAAAATTTTGTGATTTTTATTTGAACAGTTAATATTCATATTCGAAAAAAAAATTCTTATGTAAAGATTCATATTCGATAATCTCTGATTTATATGTAAAAAAAAAATGTTATTCGTTTTCTAAAACTTACTTATATGTAGAAACTTGTGAATCACATTCTATAAACTTGTGATTTCATATTTGATAATCTTGTGATTCATATGCAATTAGGCAAAATTTTACGATTTGTATTTTTCTAAAACGTTATTTGCTCGCAAAACAATGTGGTTCATATTCCATAATCTTTGTGATTTATATTGAATGATTTTGTGTTGTATATGTAAATACATTAGAATTTGCATATACTATAGTATAGAATTTGTGAATTTTTTTTTTAATATATTTAATGTAATTCACAAGATTATGGAATATGAATATTAACTTTTAGCATATAAATTACAAGATTATCGGATCTAAATCACAATGCTTTACATAAAAAAAAATAAAGTTTTCGAATATGAATATTTTTTCGCATAGAAATCACATGATTATCGCATTTGAATCAAAAGATAATTGAATATGAATCATTGAATGTAAATAGTAAGTTTTTGAAATATTTTAGAACATTTTAAATAAAGAAATAATTTTTTTTAAAAAGGTTTCGCCTATTAGTGTCAATTATCAAGATCTATTTTATGATTCACAAGTTAATGAATATGAAGAACAAGTTCTGAATGTGAATAACGTTAAATAACAAGATTAAATAACAAGATTTTTATCACATTGCAACACATATAAACACCATAGCAAAAAAAAAAATCATTATGATGGTCATTTTTATAATGAAAGTTGGAGATATTAAACTGTGCTTATTAAATTGTGAAGATAATAACGTACAGTTATTATGCTCAAAAGCATCTTCGCTAGCCAAGCGTTTACGATCCGCTCCTTTCCTCTCCAACCCTAGCTGCATAACTGTAGCGTTATGGTTTTATATTATAGTCTTTGACCATAACGCAACAGATCCCGTAATGCAAATATGGTGCAATTTTCGGCGCAAGATTTTCTGCGCACTTTGGGAATGCATTTCGCCACTTCCCAGCATTGGTCAATCAGCGACCTTTAATTCCCTAATTTTAGACATATTCTATAACCAACCTGTATATTTTATCCACTTCCTTACCCTTTCTAGTCGTCCCTACAGATCAATAACTCGCTTGTTATGAATTTGTTGTCAAAGACTAAAACATAAAACCATAATGCTACAGTTCTGCAGCTTCTCCAACCCTAGAGTGGAGAGCAGCGGATCGTAAACCCTTAACTAGCGTAGATTGCTCAAAAGCCAATTCAAACAATAAAAATTGTGAGCAGAGCCAACATGGATATCTGAAAACAAAGGTGGGATCAGGTGCCATGGAGGAGTAAGCATCCCCTGTCGACAGGTCACACCCGCCGTTTGCTTCGTAGACAATGCAGTGCGAAAATAATGGCCTACCCATTTGTACAACAGTCAACAATCAACCTTTTGAAAGATTGTATATCCAACAAAAAGTAATTGTATCAACTATAAAATTGACTTTAAACGAGATTGTCGGTACCCTTGTATCATCAACTTATTTTTCAGTAGCATGCCTCATTTTAGAAATGATTCGTATGTAGAACATGCTCTTGCATATCGATTCAACTGGGAGACATAAACTCCATACAAAGGTGATAATGATATATTTCTACATAAATAAGAGAAGTTGACGATAAAAAAAATTGAAGCCATCACGTTTATCATGAAGTTTAGTTGTTAGTTTACCATCAATGTCGATCTATCTCCAATAAAATATCCAAATATGAAACAGATGTGTCAGACTCTATAGTGTCTTTTATTTCTAGTGCAGTGGGATATATCAAATCAACGTAGGAATGAAAAAAGAATATTGTTAATTGATAAAAAGTCGTCGATATATCTTTATAATGTTGAATTGAAGGCCACAGCAAGAAACTTCTTTTTATGAAGAAATTTTTGAATAATTCATACAAAAACAGGTCTGCTCCTAGCGGGGCACAATTAGTACCAATGGGCATTCCAACAGATTGTTGGAAGATCTGGCCTCCAGAAACTACTTGTACATAGATATTGTCCATGGGAAACTCGGATCAACTACTCTAGAAGTTGTGTGCAGAATCAGAATGTTTTCAACAAAATAAGTTTGCAGATGACTACTGGCAATGTATACAAATTTATGAGTTCCATTTCATCGGAGAAGTTTTCTATGAAAAAGACCGGTCTTTCGTTTATCGTGGGTAATATTTGTATAAAGTGTTGAAAAGTTGTTCGTTTTGTTGTTAGTGATTTTAGTAAAATTTTGTGATTTAAAATTTTCCAAATGTTCCTTGGAGTTTTAAATATCCACATTTGATTAACACTCTCGAATATGCTTTTATACAGTGTTCTTGAAGTTCCTCTTTCACTGATGTTAATATTTTCGTGAGTTTAAAGAAAGAGGCTTGGAACAACATTAATTTTACTAAACCTGCTATGTATTTCTGTAAGGATTGTTAAGAAGTTTGGGATTCATACAACGCAGGTATGGTAATTCAAATTCAATTGAATATTAAAAATGTTTAAAAGTGATTTAAAATTCTGAAACATTTTCTATTTTAGATAGGGAACTAAGAGTATATTAAAGTCATATATGGCGTATTTTTGATAAGTTTTGACTAACTAAAATTAAAAAGATCTTCCTATTTGTTTTATTTCTTTATATAAAGATAGGACTTTCCTGTAAATTACACAATTTAAATCAATCGCGTTTCATAGATATTAGAAATTTTAAACAATTACCGATTTATTTACCGACTCCGCATTTAAATATCAGACACAGTTTAAAGTCAATTTAACTATAGAAACGTGGGGTTATTAAAGTTCAAAATCGGTGAAAATTTTAATTTGAACGTAAATAACAAATATCATGTTCATCTACATTCAATCTCGTATTTTTATTTTTTTTAAGCTCAGATACGCCATATATAGCTTTAAGTTGGATTACCACTTGTGGAGTTAAATCCAAGTTTCTTTAAATTGCAATCTTACAATTTGCGTAAACAATACAAAACGTGAACAGGGCAAAACAGACCTTTGGAATTATCATAGGTATGATCAGGTAACTAGGGGGAGTAAGCAACCCCCTGCCGATCTGGACACATCCGCCATGAGCCCTCTGTATTTATTAGGTAAACGTAGTAATCTTCAGTCAAAATTAGTATAAAACAGTGTCCTAACAATTGCTTTGAAACACGTCACCCAAAATACGATCTAAGGATAGGTTGTATTTGCAAAAAGGATCAATATAACGACCACAAAATTTGCAAAATGCTGAGTTAAAACGAAAATTGTAGAGAACCCTGCAACATTAATTCATTTGTCAGTAGGCTGCCTCGGTTTTTAAAATTGATCATACATGTGCATCTAGTCTTGGGAGACATTAGTAATTAGGTTCACATTAATACATGAGGATTTGACTACACTGCAATAAAAAAAGGTGTGTATTTTTGTGGGGCAGAAGGGGGTGGATAGAGAGGAGGAACCGGTTTTTTAATGAACATTTTCAAACTAAATTAACAGTAAAAAAAAATTTGTGGGGAAAAAAGAAGGGCTCAGCCCCCACCCACTCCCCGATATTAAATACCTGCTCGAGTAAACATATAAATGAAAGTAACTATTGTTAAATAATATTGAGCATCGTCGATATACTAGTATCTAAATGTCGATTTGAAGGCCACGGCAAATATTTTCTTCTTCTTATGTAGAAATAATTTTGTTTTGTTTTGTTTTTGTTTTTGTTTTTTGTTACGATAATTTCTGCTTCATTAGAAAATAGAAACAGGTTGGCTATTAAGAAGCACAATT